TGTGATTAATAATTATTAAAAAAATAAGAAATAGAATAAAAAACAAATAATAAAATAAATGAAAATAAAAAATATTATTAAAAAAGAAAAAAATTAATTTAGCCTTGAATTATTTATTACTAATATTATTTTTTTTATTAATTTTTTTATTTTGTTAATCATTAATTAATCATTAAAAAATATTAAATAATATTCCGATCGAGTTAAAAATATTCAAGTTTTCGTAAAATAAATAATTTCTAACTCGATCGGAATATTATTTAATATTTTGTAATTATTAATTAATGATTAACAAAAATAAAAAAATAAATAAATAAACAAATAAAAAAATTAATAAAAAAAATAATATTAGTAATAAATAATTCAAGGCTAAATTAATTTTTTTCTTTTTTAATAATATTTTTTATTTTCATTTATTTTATTATTTGTTTTTTATTCTATTTCTTATTTTATTAATAATTATTAATCACTAATTAATCATTAAAAAGTATGAATTAATATTCTGATCGACTTAAACTTCTTTTTTAATTTACGAAAACTTGAATTCGAATTTAATGCAAGATAGGATTATATTATACGGAAACTGAGTTAGCCTTTTATTATTTTGACAATATTGAACTAGCTTCATATTGAACTGAGCTCGAGTTGGCATTTTATTATTCTAACAAATGAACGGGCATCTTATCAACGGGAGGCGTCGATATTTTTATATTTATTTTTTGATTTTTTAAAATAATAATTTGCAATATATATGTTATAAGAAGGAATGAAAATTCTTTGTGTTTTCGATTTTATATAATAAAATATTAATTAGTTAGTTGACTAATTTAATTAATATTTAATATGTTTTGGGTTACTAAAAATTTAAAACACTTTTTCCTAAGTATACCAAAAAAGTATTACCTGGAGTGAAACTTATCTCTGTTACAGTTAAAGCTTTATTTTCGTATACAATAAATTACAAAACAGCCAGTACTCGGCCAGTATTGAACCAGTAGTGGTTACCAATACTGGTGCCAACTCTGGTAGCTAATACTGGGTGTCAGTACTGAGCTAGTATTTGTCAGTACTGCGCCAGTACTGCGCCAGTACTGCACCATTAGTACCTTTTTTTATTGAGTATCTGAATATGTATTTTTTTTAAACTTATTAGTTTTATGAATTTTCGGTTATAAATATAGAAATTTGATCGAAATACTGAAAATTTGCATTGATTTTGGAATACAGTCTCAATTTTTGCATATATACGAGAAAAACTTAAAGATGAATTATATTGGGATTATATATATATGTTACGGGCAATGTGCGGGAGGCGGGCAATGTCCGAGAATGCCCGGGCATTGTCGACAATGCCCAAAATCAGTGGGCATTGTCGACATTGCCCTGTTTTTTTCGGTCAATGTCGAAAATTATTTATAAAATTCTGTTTTCTGGGCAATGTCGACAATGCCCAGTCCATTTTGGGCAATGTTGAAATGCATAAAATTTTTTAATAAAAAATAATTTGTAATATAAGTAAATATTTCATCACTTGTTAAAACTGAATAATTGAATAATATAATCAATTTAACGCTGTTTACTAAATTCTGAAGAATTTTTATTTGTGCAGTCAATTCAATGGATTTATTTGCAATCATTTTGTGTGCCCCAAAAGGAGGACTTTTCGTCATTTTACGATATCAAACATAAGTATAGACTTCATTGTGATACTCGGCTGTAATTCTTAATTTTTAATATTTAATGTACTAAAATAATGTTTTATAATTGTAAAGAAAAAAGTTTTAATAAATTTTGTACTTAATTATTAATTAATTTTATTATTTCTACAAAAATATTAATTAAGGTGAGAAAAATTTATTTGATCAACGCTTTGTTAGTACAACAAATTATTTTGCTGTCAAAAAAACGGACAGACAATTGTGCTTACATGTCTTGTGAGGAATATGAAAGTTACATTAAAAAAGTGGACCAATTAAAGTTATGCGAAAAAAAGGATTCGAGGAGTTACAGATTTTTAAAAAAATACGACACAATTTCCGTGAACGGAAACAAGAAATTAATTAGACCTATTAACAGTGACAGTGAAAATAAATATTTCGGGCATTATTTTCTAATAACATGTTACTTATTTATAATAAACAACATTGCCCAAAAATTAGTGGGCAATGTCGAAAATGCCCGGGCATTGTCAACAATGACCGGGCATTGTCAACCTTTTGTAAACGTTTTTAAAAATAAGTGGGCAATGTCGACAATGCCCACTGATTTTGGGCATTGTCGACAATGCCCGGGCATTCTCGGACATTGCCCGCCTCCCGCACATTGCCCGTAACATATATATAATTTTTAGAACTGTCAATAAATTTATCAAAAACGATGCTGCTCCAAGAATGACATTATCGTTATCAATATTAGACGAAATCGCGTGACAAGTGCGCGGAAAGTTGGAAGGCCGCGAAGCGGAACGTCCATGTCCATTGAATACAGCTTGAGGCCTAATTTGCCTCGTTTGCTTTTAAATTATGTATATAGTTTCTCCAAGGGACGGGGATTTTTGATCGAATACAATTTCGTCAATAACTCTGTATATAACCATCGACAAAACGCACCTCTTGCGTGCAAGCTTCATAAGATGTATATATATACACGTATCTTAACAAAGTTGTTAAACAATATACAAATCCTCATAAATAATTATAAAACAGAAAAACTAAGCAATTTTCGTAAAGGAATAAAATTCGATGAATAATTTAAATTAATTTTTTTTTATATATCGACAAAAAATTATTATTCATTATTATAATAATAACAATAATAATAATTGTATATTATATCTACATTTATTATATTATTTATTTTTTTATAAAAAAACTAATTCCATAAAAAAATTATTAACAAAATTTGGATATAAAAAAGAAAAATGTTTTTTTTTTGATAAATGGTTTATCAGTTTCGGAAATTAATGAATGAATTCTTTAATTGTTATTGTAATTTTAATAACGGATCAAGGAAAAATTTTTCAAACGTTGATAATTGATTTTTTTTTTATTTTATTAAATTTTTTAAAATCTTATTAATTTATTTATTTAAATAAAATTTATTTTTTTTTATTTAAATAATAAATTCTATTTTTAAGTTTGTGAAAAAAATTAATTAAAAATTTTTTATGACTCGAATCAATGAAATGTAATTTCAACGAGAATAATAAGGGAAAAATTAGATTTGCTCGTGAAGAATGAAATTTTTTTCAGGATATATAGATATTGAAGCATTTTCATCTGCAGTAGATTGAGATCCTTGGAAGGGGGAAAAAAAAATTCAGAAAAACTTCCAATCTTTTTTTTCACTTTTTTTTTTTTTTTTTTATCATTGGGATTAACAAAAGGCTAGCGTTTGCTAACGTGAAACATAATCGCGACAGTGATCCGACAGATCGATTTTGCGTTGTTAGGTCCGGTCAGTAAATGGGAGGGTAATAGGACAGATGGACATTTGGGCAGCTGGGCACTCAATTGACCACGGTTTTTCAAAGCATTTTTTTAAATTTACTTTTCATTCGGACCTCTTGAAAAAATAGCCGCACGAGCCGATGAAATCAATCATCTTTTTTTTCAACATTTTCCGTTTTAGAGCGATTTTTTTTTCTCCTTGTTCTTTTTTTTGAAAAATATTTAATTTCAAAAAATTAAAATTCTGATTTTATTTTTTTTTTTTTTCAAATTTGAGAAATATATATATACTTTAGGGATTTAATAAAAAAAATTAAAAAACTTTTAAATAGAATAATTCGATAATTATTAATGATAAATAATTTTTTTTTCTGGTATAAATTTTTTTTTTCTTACATAAAATGAAGGATAATTATATAGGGATAAATTTCTTTGAATATTTTTTTACTCGAATAATTTGAAAGTAGTTATTGAGGAATGTGGAATTGTGGAGTACTAAAGTTGAAGCAATTTTATCAGGTGAGCTGAAGAGAACCTGTGAGTTTTATGAGAGTCTAGAAAATTGGGGAATGAATTTCTGAGAAAGTTACTGCTTCCCTCTGTTGGTCGTTTATTGAATAGGAAAGAAGACTCATTTCAAGAGTGTTTAGACTTGTGCATACACATTTTATAAACGCGTGTGAAGATAAAATAGTTGCAAAATAATTTTTCAACTTTTTTTTTTTTTAGATTTTAAGTGATTTCTTTGTTTTTGAATTTAAATTTCATGTAACAGGTAAAAGAAAAATTAAAAATATAGTTTGTTCTTCATTATGTGTTGAAATAGAATAATGTGCAAATTTTTTTTTTAAGTTTCATTTTATTTTTAATACCATTATATTGGTATTAAAAATAAATTGTAGAGTTTTACAATAATATTTGAGATGAAATTATAGTGAAAATGTTTTTTTTTTAATTTTATTTCAATTGTAAAAGTCGTAACCGGTATGTGTGTTTTATGTGCTGTAAGTGAATTTACTCGTGGATAGAGTTTATTTTTAGTATAAAAAAAGACAAATTTTTACGTTTTTCAGTTTTAAATTTAGCTTTTTGAATAAAATAATAGGTAGAAATTTTTTTTTTCACTAAGTTTCGGAAATTATTTCTATTTTTTATTTCGAAGTAGGGCAACGTGTTTTTTTTTTTTAAAAAAAAGAATAATCGAATTATTTAAAAAATTGAACCTAATAAATATTGGTCGATAAATTACCGGCTGTAGATATACCTGGGATTTATAATCTAGATTGTTTAATACTTTTTCTATTTATAAAAATTTAATTTAAAAAATAATTTTAAAAATTTTTTTAACATATTGTTAATTAATTTTATTATATTTTTTTTAAGATTATTTATGAATGTTTTTTATAAATTATCTTGTATTTTCTACCAATGAGAAAAATTAAGAAGAAATCTGTTTTATCTTCATTCGATACTAACAGTGACATCTATTCAACTTTTATTTTTCCAATTTGAACTAATTGTAAATTGAATAATATTCGTACCTTAGTTTTCATCACGTTTAATTGCAATACGGACATGTTTCTGTCAAAATATTTATACATGTCAAATTTTTCATTAAAAAATGGATGATAAGAAAATTCGAAATGTATTTTTATTTTAACTGCAATTTTTTGTTTTGTTACATTATTTTGTGGAATATTTAAAGACTTATTTTTTTCCTCAATGTGAGTAATTTACATTTTTCTTGAATAATTTACATACAAATTTAAAATGGTGATTTAATAATTTTCTATACTTAAGAATATTTTTAAAAAAATAATTTTATTTTTAAGTATAATTCAAATTTTCCTGCGGATTAATTCAAATTTTGTTGGGAATATTTTAATATTAAAAGAAGTTTTATAAAAATATTAAAATAATTTTATTAGTGGAAAAATTTGATTAATTATAAAAAAGGGGACAAATTGTAAATAATTTTGAGATTTTTAGTTATGAGCAAAGTTTTTTTTTTTTTTTTTTTTTTGAAATAAATTTTTCTTTTTTAAATAAATTAAAAAACAATTAGTCGTTCTTTGAAATAATCATAGGCTCATTGTTTCTTAATGAGATGAAATTTTTCGAAGTCTTGAAAATTAACTAAATGATGAATGGAAAACTATTCTTATTCTATGGAATATTTATTTTGATAACTATTGTAAATTGTGCAAAAGAATTTTGTATGAATGTTTACATTGTTTCTCTGACCTTTCAATTAGTGTAGAAAATGGAAAAGATAGAATTTTAAAGTTATAGATGATTTCACTATACTTGAGACAAATATAATTGATTTCTTAATTAATAGAGGAAAATTGTATTTATCTCATTATAAAAATATTTTCTATTTAAATTTTCATTTGTTTCTAAATAATTACATTTTATTAAGTAATAATTGAGATATAATTGTTAATTTATCATTTTTAATTGACAATTATTTAATTTTTTTTTGCATATAAATTAATTAACATTTTTTATTTTTGAAAAAAATCAAATTTTTTGTAAATTTGTAACTAATTTATTTCTGAAATTCAAAAAAATTATTAAGATATTTAATTTAATTTTTCAAATTTTGAGAATTTTGCTAATAATTTTTTTTTTGTAAAATAAACTTTGATAAAGATTATTAAAGTTGATCAATTTTTTTTTATATACTCTTTTATTAATCCTTTATTGTGTAATTGTGAAAAAAAGCCAGTTAATTGTCTTAAATCGTTTTCCATTTATGATGTCGCAAAATCAAGAAAGAATATTAATAATTATCTTCAATTATTATTGTGTATTTAAAAATTAAAAAGTTTAATGCGCTTTGTAATTCACACTTTTTTAAAATTACTCTTACCTGAAAAATTAATTTGTTTCATTTATATTTCAATTAAATTATTTTTATTATTTATGTTTTTTTTTATTATTTTCATTATTATTATTATTATTATTATTATTATTATTATTATTTTTTTATTTTTATTGCATAAAAACTGAAATATTAACAATTTTTTTTTGTGTTTCTATTATTCAATCATTTTTTTTAAATGATCTTTAATAAATTCTGATTAAACCGAGTGCTATAAGTTAACTCTTCATATTAAGATAGTTGCGCTTGAGATTATAATTATTAAGATTGAAACTTCTGGGGGTATTATCTTGGGGGAAAATATCAGGCGATCGGTTTTATAAAATAAAAACCTTCATCATTCAAGTATCGTTTGATTCAAGATTCTAGAAATAGACATTTTATTCTATGATGAATTCCATTTTATTTCAATTGGTGATAAATTGATGCGTTCAATGTCTGCAAAACGTGATAGAATTTTAATTAAAATTCAAAAATTAGTAATAATTTATCCATTTTTTTTTTTAAATATCTTTTTTTTAATTTTAAATTTTGTTCACAGTTAATTTTATTGTAAATAAAAAATATGACGACTTTTTAATAGTTCCCGTACATATAAAAAAAAAAAAAAATCTTTCCGAAATGTCAATAATAGATAAAAATTTGTTTATTTTTTTTAGCAAATATATTGCTTCATTTTTTTATTACAGTACATTATTGACTTTATAAAAACAAAATGATTTTAATTTCTCTATAAATAAAAAAGATTAATAATTTAAATATATTTAAAGAATAAATAAATTTTTATGAATAATAAAAAAAAAAATATTTTTTAAAATAGAATAAAATATTCTAATTAAGAATATATTAAAAAATTAAATAACTTTCTCGTTCCTTCATCTTTTGTTCCCCTAAAAAAATTTTCTGTAAAAAATATAATTTTTTTTTAGTTTACTCTAAAAATGTATAAACAGAAAATTGAGACACGTGTTTTTGGATGAAATGATTGGTTAATATTTGACGAGCCCCCAAAATAATTATTTTTCATTATCTACAGGTTACAACGTTGTTATTACACGTCATAGGGTTATTACACGTCTTAAAGTGATTTCTATTTGAAAAACAAGTGCTATTAAAAGTTCATTAGCAATTTATACATTAACTCGTATAAGTTGAGTACGGTATTTCATTTACATTCCGGCATTTTAACATCAGTTTACTTGTTACCTTCGTATTGTGACAATCGTTCTCTGAAAAGCAAAGCGAATGATTTCGCTTATAAAATTCAAGAAAAAGAAGATATGAAAAAAAATTTCCATTAAGTAATTAATGATTCAGCAAACAAGTGATTTTATTAAGCAACATTTGAAAATCAAGTCAAATTGTAAGTTTTTAATTTTTTTTTTATTTTTATTGCTAAATGAGATAAGTATGTAACAAGATAAATATAAATGAATATCAAATTTTGATAATAATAATTCTAATTATTATTATTATTATTATTATTATTATTTTTATTTTTATTATTTTTATTATAAGAAAATATTATTGTGAAGATAATGAGTAATATGCAAATATATATATTTTTTTTTTTCGAAAATTTACATGACAGTTTAGTTGTGAGTTAAAAGTGTATTGTCTTGTTTTTATCGGTATAGTTATCGCGCGAACATTTACAAACAAAACGTGTTGCGCGATTGCGTCTGAAGACAATTTCTTTTTATATGGAAAATTCTAAACAAAATTTGAAAAGATGTTTGGATGAAAAGAGTAAAAAAGTGATTTTATTTTTTTCTAGAATAACTATTTTCTTTTATCTAGAAGAGATAGGAAGTTTTTTTTGTGATGGCTAAAGGTGAAATGAGAATATCGGAAAAAAATGACGTTGAAAGAAATAATGATACAGAGAAAGCAAATAAAATAAGAAATTTGGTGGCATTTTGGATACTTGGATTGTGCAATAATTATGGATACGTTGTCATGCTCAGTGCAGCTCATGATATTCTCAGAGAACGATTTGATGTGAGTTTTTTTTTTTTCTCTTTTTTGATTTTTATTTTTTAAAAAAAAATTATTTCTCAAAATAGAAATTTTGTTGTGAATTAAATTTTACTAAAATTTTTCTTCTTTTGTAATTTTAAATAATAGTACATTGTTCACATTTAAATTTTGACTAGGTCGTTAATATTCACCAAGAGTTTCACTGGTGTAATTGTGCAAATGATTGGGTCATGGGCATATTTTCGAATGCCATAAATAAAGTAGTTATTGCATAATTTATTTTCAATAAAAGCGAGAAATCTAGAAGTCAATTGTGTTTTTTTTTTATCTATTTTTATAAAAGATTGTAACTATGTAACCATGTTTGTAGTCTGAACATTGTTTCCACTAATCATTTCTTTATCTAAGAAATTTTAATATCTAATAAATGACACTAATCTTATTTAGGCAATGTGAAAAAAAAAATATTGAAAATTTGTTTCCTTGTTTAAATAATTGATTACATTATCAAGTATAGAAATATAAATTAAGAAATAAAATAATTTTTATTTGAAAATATTAACGATTAATAAAATTGTTATTAATAAATTAATAAACTTTATTTAATTTATGAACTACATACAGAAAAATGATATATATTTGTCTCAGAGTCAAATAAATATTTGATTCAAATAAATTTTTATTTGATTTAAAAAATTTATTTACGCCAAATAAATGGCTTCTGAGGTTTAATTGATTTAAAATTTATTGACTATATTATACGAGGGGTAAAAAATAATAACAGTTAAAAATAATTACAGTTTATGTGAAATAAAAATTGTTTAATATATTTGGTTTCTTTTTGTATTTTTTACTTATTACGTTATCAAATTTTGGAATTTATGATAATGTCTATACAATTACGTTAAATGTAATATAAATTTATTATAAATTCTTTTTATTTGAAGTTATTTTATTTTTTTTAGCATAAAAAAGATGAAACAATTAATGCAACTTTGAGTAATGGCACAAATATAATGAATAGAGAGTGCAATACAATATCCACTGGTGCAATACTTTTAGCCGATGTATTGCCATCTTTAATAGCAAAGTTAATTTTTCCATTTGTGCCATATTTTGTCAAGTAAGTATTTTTAATTTAAAAATAATTAAAAACTTTTTTTTTTCAATTAAAATTCTGATTTAGAAAAAAATTCAAGACCAAATTCATTTTAAATTAGACAGGCTTGACTTGGTTGGAGTTGAAAATAATTTTCACCTTCAAAATGTTGTTCTTCAATGAATTTTAGACGACACGTATTTTTTTATTTTGCTGAAAAAAATTTTTTCTTTAAGTTATAAGGAGTTCAAATATATAAGTCGAGAACTTCGGTTTTTTTTTTAAATGAAGAGAAAAAATCTTAAAAGTGATGTAACTTTTTAAGTAATTAAGATAATTCACTTTTTCCTTTTGTATCTGAAAGGACTTTTATTCTTCTTTTGAAATCTATTGGAAAATTTAAAAAATATTTAAAAATAACAAAATGGTGGCCATTTTACTAAAAAAACTTTCATTTGAAATTACTCAAAAACCCCACCTTTTTTTTTGCTCAAAATTTTTTTGGGAATTGTGTTCATAGGGAGGAATATTGCTCACAAGAATTTAACTTGTGCTCGATTCTGGCACAAGGGAAAAATTTTTTTTTATATTTTTTAAAAGAAAAACATCATTAAATTAAATTTTCCAATGGATTTCGAAAGAAGAATAAAAGTCCTTTCAGATACAAAAGGAAAAAGTGAATTATCTTAATTACTTAAAAAGTTACATCACTTTTAAGATTTTTTTCTCTTCATTTTAAACAAAACGAAGTTCTCGACTTATATATTTGAATTCCTTATAACTTAGAGAAAAAATTTTTTTCAGCAAAATAAAAAAATACGTGTCGTCTAAAATTCATTGAAGAACAACATTTTGAAGGTGAAAATTATTTTCAGCTCCAACCAAGTCAAGCCTGTCTGATTTGAAATGAATTCGGTCTCAATATAAAAATATTTGTATGAAATAATATTTATTGAATAAAAAATATGCATTTTAGTATTCGCGTGCTCGCTTGTATATTACTTTCATTTGCTGGTTTCTTATTGGTGGCCCTGGGTGAAACAAGTGTTATTATAATATTAGGAATAGTTGTCACGTCTATTTCTTCTGGATTAGGAGAATTAACACTAATTGCTTATTGCAATCGATTTAATAAGTAAGTAATTCGTATAGATTTTTTTTTTTTTTTAAATTGAAATATAAAACCTTTTTTCTTGCAGACATGTGATATCTTCCTGGTCATCAGGAACTGGTGGCGCAGGAATATTTGGTGCTGTTTCTTATGCGAGTTTGAAAATTTGGTTAAACACAAAAGAAACACTTTTAATAATGTTAGTAATTCCAGTTTTAGAGGGAATTGCATTTTGGTTAATTTTAGAAAATCCAAAACAAACAACAATGACACCAGCCAAGGATGGTATTGGAAGTCAAGAGAAAATAATTAAAGTTCAAGAAAAAACATTAAAAGAAAAATTACTTTTAGTGCCAAAATTATTGAAATACATGCTGCCTCTTGGTTTAGTTTATCTTTTTGAATATTTTATCAATCAGGGTTTGGTAATTGTTTTTTTTTTATTTCTTTCTTAAATTTAATTAAATTTTTCGTAAATGAATTTATTTTTAAAAAAAATTTTTTTTCGCTAATTTGTTATTTTATTGCAGTTTGAATTGATTGAGTTTAACAATATTCCGTGGTTACGCCCTAGTGATCAATATCGATGGCTTCAAGTTGACTATCAGATTGGTGTCTTCATATCAAGATCATCAGCAGTATTATTTACTTTTAATAAAATATGGATCATGGCTGTGTTGCAGGTATTTGTTATTATTAATTATTCGCAAGAAAAAAGAGTACAATTTTTTTTTTTAAATTTTAAAATATTGAAAAAAAATATTAAATTGTAAATTTTTATTATTTTTCAGTTTGTGAACGTGATTATTTTACTTTTTGAATCCATATATTTTTATATTCCCAGTTTTTGGATTGTTTTTGCTCTTGTTTTTTGGGAAGGACTTTTAGGTGGCGGAGCTTATGTTAATACTTTTTATAAAATTTCAAGACAGGTATTAATTATTATAATAATAATAAATATAATTAAATAATTATTTATTGTAATTATAAAATAAATTTGATCTTTTTAATTCAGCTTCCAGCAGAGGATCGTGAATCTGCATTTTCAATTGTTGTACTTGCTGATTCGATAGGAATTGCCCTTGCAGGATGGATGTCGATGCCGGTCCATAACGCTATTTGTCAACTTCCACGACCAATTAGAAATTCGTGATTTATATGTGCCATTAGCAATCAGTATGAGCCATATTGCTCACTAACAATAGTTTATTGTTATACAAATTTTTTTTTTTTTTATTGTTTTGATAATAAAATACGTTATATGATAGATAAAATATGTGAAATAGTATTGTTTCAAAATAGAATTTTTTTTTTTTTACAAAGGAATGAAATTGCAAATTTTGAAAAATAAAATCAATTATCGTATAACCATATTGAATGTGAGACTGAAAGTGTATGAATGTTACTTATATAATTATCTCTCGTCTCAGGGTATAAATGAAATTAATTCATACATTTGTATTTGAAAATGAGAAGAAATAATTTTAAACATTTATTATTAAATTGAATTTTATTTTTGAATTTAATTTTTTACTAGATTTTAATACTCCACTTTTTTGAAATTATAAATTTTTTTTTTACAGTAATTTTCTTATAATACAATAGTTTAAGATAATTTTTGGAAAAATTTTAATTAGAAGAAATATTTAAGATTTTCTTAATGAAAAAGAAAATGTATATTTTGTATTATAAAAATTGTATTGTAAAAGTAAGTAAAAAAAAAAAAAGAAGTATTATATCGATAGATCGAATTGAAACTTCGACAAATCGTTAGTACAAATGTATATGAAATGAATATAGATAAATTTTTTTTTAAAATATTAAACAATGTTAAGAATATCAATTTTTTTTTACATGACAAAATTTGTTTCAGTTACAATAAAAATGTTCAATTTTTTAGGAACGAGTTGTTAATTTTTATACAAAAAATTTGTCAAAAGAAACAATATTCTATTTAAGAATATTATCTATCGGCATATTACCCTGTTTTATAAATTTTTTTTTTTATTTTAAAGAAATATTTTATTATTGAAAAAAAAAGTTTCGATTAAAACGAAACGTAAAAATGGAAAAGGTGACAGTAAATAAAAACAAAGTGTATATCCAAACCGCAATTCATATTTTTTTTTTCTTGTATATTTTACAAAGTAAATAGAATATAAACAATCTCTAAAATTGTTTGAAACATAAGTGTACGAATCTCGTATTAAACAATGTACATATATATTATAAAGTATACGATATATCAACAAGACAACTTTTTGGCGCGCGATTATCCGAAATTCTTTTTTTTTTTTTTTCTCCAAGTACACACAAGTATACAACATATTGATGATGACCGAGTTGTTTGGAACGTTGTTTTTTTTTATTATTATTATAATTATTATTATTATAAGTGGCAGCTTTGAGTCTTTAATTTTATCCTGCATTTATTTATCGATGTAATTCGAAATGATAAAATTCATTGATGAAAATTCATGATAATACACGCTTACAATTATTTATTTATTTGTTTTGTTTAAATATTTACACCGCGATAATAAAGTCACGAAGATTTCGTTGACCTCGTCCCCGATCTAAATCGCATTCGGCTTCACTTAATTCATGCGGGTCGGAGAAACCCGAGGGTGGATCCAATTTGGGGATGAACAAGTGTCCCGGTCCGTCGCGCTCCTGCTGCTGGTGCTCCCGGAAGACAGAGCCCGACTGGTGCCGGGAATGGCCAGACCCGTGGAGCCCGAAGATTGACCGGGCCTCCTCGCCGGTATAACGCGCCAACTGTAACATCCTGGCAAAAAAATTTTTTTTTTCCCATTATTAACAATAGTCATAATTTATTTATATTTTTTTAATAAAAAAATTATAAAAATAAAGAAAAAAATTTATAATAATAATAATAAAATTGCCCCGGAAAATTAGCCTGATATTAAAATTAAAAAAATTTAAACCACGTTGCCTGGTGAAAAATTCGTTTTTACTGTTGAAGAAAAATACAATAGTTTTTAAGTCTGATTAAAATTGACTTTGACTACTGCTCAAAAAAAAAAAAAAAAAAAAAAAAATTCAAAAATTTTGGAAAGACTGTAACTAATTTTTACTATTGACACGAAAATATTTACAAGAATTTGTAAGTCTAACTGAAATTAACTTTTACTACAAATATCAATTATATAATAATAAAATGCTTGGTCTGTCCTTCTGTCCTAACTTGAAGTTGGCCTTTTCTGATTTCACGTGTTTTTTTTGATTAGTAATCTTATGACGTGTCAAATTTTGACAATTCTTTTTCTCATTTTTGCCAAAGTTGACAAAGCTGAAATACGCAACGTTTATGATAAACGATTTTTAAAGAAATAATTTTTTAAAATGAAATATTCTATAATTTTTTGCCTAAAAAATTTTTTTTTTATAATTTGTTGATTACAAATACAAAAAAATATTTTTTAGGCAAAAAATTATAGAATTTTTTATTTTAAAAAATTGTTTTTTTAAAAATCGTTTATTATAAACGTTGCGTACTTCAGCTTCGTCCAAAGTTGTATAATTGTGTTTCCAAATTTCGGAATAAGTTTCTTTAAAATTCCAAATTTGAAAATTCAATTCAAGAAGCTGAAGTACACAACGTTTACCTACGAATTTTTTTTTAAAGTTGTATATTGATTCAAAAATTGTATACAAATAGAAAAAATTTATGATGAGAAAAAAGATGCACCAGAAAATTTCGTACAAGATAGTAATTTGAAAAAAATTTATTTTTAAAAATTAATTTTTAAGGTACCAGGGGCCAACAATTACCTATTAAATATTAATTATAAAAAGTAAAAACACAGGCCTCGAATCAACTTTAAGACACAAAAAGTCGTTTCAGTCGATTTATATTCCAAAAAAAAGTGGATTTGTTTTTTATTTTAACAAAAATATTTTACAGATTTTAAACCCGGCGAGACTAAGGTTCAATTTTGTAATACCGTGACTAAGGTAGGGTAAATTTTACCCTATAATGATTTTCTGTTTCTATATTTAAGAAAAGCTTAAAATCATGGAAATTTTTTAACAAATTTGTTTTATATTGTCTAGTAATGTAATTTATTAGTGTCACAACAAAATTTGCATTTATATAAAAATCGCAGTAAAATTCAGCATTCCTAGTTCAAACTATCGAGGAATAAAAGTTTCATAGGGTAAAATTTACCCTACCTTAGTCACGGCGGGTTAAATTAAAAAAAATTTTTTTTTAATAATAATCCTTTTCGAAGGGTTAAAGTTGAAATTTTTAGAAATAATTAAATTTCAAAAGATATTGTTAATTTTCAAACAATTATTAAATTTTACAGAACTAAAAATAATTTATAAAACAATTTTTGAAAAACATTTTTTAAATTTAATTGAATTTTCAAAGATTTAAAATTGAGATTTTTGAAATTAATTGAAACTTTAAGTGATTTTTAATTAAAATTTTGAGATGATTTCACTAAAAATTTATTAGAAAATGCGGACAAAATACAATAATTTGAAAATCATTTTTAATTGAAAAATAGTTTCAGATAGTTGAATTTTCAAAGAATATTATTAAAATAGTTAAAAAATAATTGAATTTCCTTAGAGTTATAATTGAAATTATTAAATTTCAAAAAAAAAAATTTCGATGGAAAATTTTAGAAATAATTAAATTTTAAATGCTTTTAAATTCAAATTATTGAAAATTCAATTAATCTTGAATTCAAATTTTTGAGAATAATTAAATTTTATTTGATTTTAAATTTGGAAAATAATTGAATTTCAGTTCATTTTGAATTGAAAATTTTGGGAAATAATTGAATTTTATTTGAAATTTTGGATCATAATTTAATTTAAGTTCATTTTTGATTGAAAATTTGGATTAATTTTGAATAGAAATTTTAGAAAATAATTGAATTTTATTTCATTTTAAATTGAAAACTTGGTAAATAATTAAATTTTAAATTGAAAATTTTGAATAATTATTGAATTTTAATTGATTTTGAATTAAAATTTCGGGTAATAATTGAATTTTAGTTTATTTTGAATTGAAATTTTTAAAAAATAATTCAATTTTATTGTGATATTTTTTTTTTTAAATTATAAACAATTGTTAAATTTCATAAAAATTTTAATTGAAAAATAATTTTGATATAATTGAATTTGTGATGTATTTCATTAAAATTATTAAAAATAATTAATTTAGTGAAGAATCATTTTAGTTAAAAATTTGTTAAATAATTGAATTGAAGAAGATCTGAAGAAGATCTACATTTAATACTAAAAAATGTATTTTATTTACATTTTTTTTCAAATGTAAAAAAAAAGTCGCATTTTATTAAAATAAGTCGATAAAAGTCGTATTTTTGAAAAACGTCGTATAAACCGAGGCCTGTAAACATATAATTTTCATTATTATCATTTAATATGTAATAATATTCTAATAAATTAAATTATTATTAATAATATTAATCTTTAATTTTTTTATAACAAATAATGAAATACTCAATTTGGCGCACTTGCGCGCGTTTAATTTTGCTAGTTTTACAATAATTTTGAAAGACTGACTAAAAGAATTTTTATCATTGATGATAAAATTACAAAAATTTGATCTTTGTCTGAAAAAAAAATTCGAAAATTTTTGGAAAGACTGTTACTATTGTTAAAAAAAAATTTATGAAAATTTGGACGTCTGACTGAAGTTGACTTTTACTACTAATATTTTTTATAAATAAAATTAAATAGGAATTTTACAATTTGAATGTCTGACTGAAATTTACTATTACATACTACTTACTTGGGTCGTCCCCTTCCAGGAAACGATTTTCTCTCAAAAACCGGTGAGGGTTCTGTAGACGTGCTAGATTCTGGTCCATGGTACAGGAAGTCTAGAAAGAAATTTAAAAAAAAAATTAATTTCTAACAATAAATTATGGGATATTGAATTTTTTTTAAAATTTCCATTGAATGAAAATAATTTGCCTTCTATATATTATTATTTAGTTTATTTTATTAATTATTAACTGATTTTATTTTTAAATTTTCGGTTTTTATATTTCCTTTTTAAAAATTATTTTTCACATCTAATTAATTTCTAAGGTATTAGGATTTAAAATCTATTTTTATGCTATTATTTAATTATATAATAAATAATTATCCTGGAGAAAAATGGAAATTCTGATTTAAAAATTTGGGGTAAAAAATTTTTTAGCTAACAGAAATTGTAAATTTTCATTTATTAAATGTTCTCATTATTTCCAGGCACTGAATGATGAAAAACCATAAAAGATGCAGTATAATTATTGTCAAAATAAATTCTGACAGTGCGAAATTTCTGGCTAAAATGGGAATTAAAAATAATATTTTTTTTTTTTAAATATAGATTCTCGCTAAAAATTCATCGAATCCATTTTTCTCCGTGAGGGAATTGAATAGAAAAAAACTTTTGATTTAAAAAAACGAAAAAAAAAAAAAAAAATGAAAGCGTTACTGTGAACACGCGCGTCAGCCGCAGCTACGGAGGTCGAAAGATGCGAATCGACGAGGTGATTGGAAGACTCAGTTCGGCTGCTGGTCCCGACTTCCGTGTCGCTGTCCGAGCCCAGGGTGTCGTATTCCTCCGACTCGGACTTTCCCTGATGGGTCTTGTGCGATTTATGCAATGGTGCAGAGGATGAACGACCTCCGCGCACCTTAGTGTACCGGTTGCAATCCGACTGCAATCAGACGGAATTTATTGATTGGAATGATATTAAACGTATTCGAGAGTTAATGACTGATTGAACAACAAATTAATTTTCTAATAGACTGCGTTTACACTCAGTAATTCTCATTTAGAGATTTAAAAATAATTATAATCCCCCTTGGCAAGGAACAAGTAAAGTGGGGGGGCAATGAGAGTGAAAGAGACAAAAGTAGAAATTTGTCTCCCCCACTCCGTCGCGTCTCCCACTCTTCTTATTTGCTCCTCCAATCAGGGAAAATAATTCTCAACTCGCTAAGAGTGGGGAGAGTACCTCTCTCATTTGATCTCATTACTAATATAAGCTATCACCGGGAAGAAAAATTTATTCCAAAATGCTAATCTCCACTACTATTTTTTAAAGAATAAAATTTTATTTTCTCATTAGTTATTTTTAAAAATGAGAAAATTTTTTATTCTTCAATACGAGTTAAGATTTTTTTTTTTGGAATAAAAATTAATTCAGTGTAAATGCAGTTGTTAATGAATAAATATTTGCGAAAAGGAAGCAAGAGGGACCAGCAGTCGCGCAATGATTGGTTGCAATGCTACTGTAAGATAAATTATTAGAGTCGTAATTGATTTTTTTTAATCTACTCGCAAAACAGCGAACTATTTTGTGAAATGAAAAAAATAATAATAATGAGAACTATGTATAATTGATGGGTAAATTATTATTATTATTATTATTATTGGTCTTGAAATGACACGAATGATCGTTTCGCGACGGTACATACCTGAAGAAATCATTTTTTTTTCACGAGAAGTTCCATGAGTTCGATATTTATTTGTCCATTGTGAACAATTTTCGATTTTAATTCGAATTTTTTTTTTCAATATAATTACCTTTTTTGGATCCAGATTAGATCCAATAATTTACTTACATTTTCTGCATCCAGAAGTGAATTTTTTTTTTTTTTTTTTTTTGACAAAAAAGGGATGTTTTCTAAGATTACTACACATTCAGTTTCTTTTTATTTTCAATTTAAACGAATTTTTTTATTTTTACGCAATTTGAAATTTTCAACTTTTGATATAAAATATTTGAAAAAAAAAAATTATTTTTATACAATTTACAAACGAAATAATTTGTTTTTTAAAAATAGTTTTGACTAAAATTATGTTTAAAGCATTTTATTAATTGAAGGTCTGCACAAAAGATAAAGAAATGTACAAAGATAACATTGTTTACTTTCATGGAATCTTTTACAATATTTACAATACTTTGAAACGTTCGTTTTAAATTCAAATCACGGAATTATTATTATTTTTTAATTCTATGATGAAAAGTAATAAGTAATTAATATTAAAAAATATTTTTAGTTTTAATATTTTGAAAGTAATTTCAAAAATTACATAACTTTTTTTTTTAATTCAAAGTTTTAATTTTTAATTTTTTTTTAATTTTTAAGTTTTAATTTAAAGTGTTACAAATTTAACGAAGCGGAAATATAAAACATTTTTTAATTTAAAAAAAAAAACATGCATCTAATTTTGTGCAATTTTATTTAATTTGATGAAAAAATAGTCAATCGTTTTTTTTTAAATTTAATTTCTTTTATTTATTTTAATAAAATCATGATTTATGAATAACTGAAAATATATAAATAAATGGAAAAAGTTTGCTTGAATATGGATGTATAAAAGTGAATTGTTTATACAATAATAATTTATTTATTTATATTTTTATGACTTGATTTTTGATGAGAAAAAAACATGCAACTACGAAATTTTTTCAAGCACTTGCTGATAAAAAAGAAATTTTTTTTTTTTCAACAATTACCTCGCGTAACTGTAGTGTATCAGCAGCTGATAACCGAGGATCGTGATAGACAAATGTTTGTAGAGGGGCAGCAGAGTCACATCGACTGTCGCCACCTGCAGGTACACTTTCTTTCAATTGAAATGTTGCATATGGATAAATATCTTCCGAGTACTCTGTAACCAAAAAAAAAAAAAAAAAAATTCCCATTAATTAAAATTTAAGTACAAAAAATGATTTCTGCAAAAATAATCTTTTTTTTAAACTTTTAATTTATTTTAAATTATTATTAAAATTTAACAGCATTTTCAAATACCTTCTATAAGTTCAAAATTAAAAAAAAATGTTTTCTAAACAAAATTTTGATATTGGTAAATTCACAGAAAATTAAAAGGCATTAAAATAAGCTGCAACGCTTATTATTTTAATCCAATTTTGCTTATTTTAATACCAAAATGGATTAAAATAATAAGCGTTGCAGCTTATTTTAATGCCTTTTAATTTTCTGTGTTGAATTAAAGAAGTTAGAGAAGGTTTCTGAGTTTAGTATAGAAGCTTTATAAATTAATTAGTTATTACTTTCACCTGGTATCCTTTCAAGAGTACCCATTTCATGAATTGGTGATCGAAGGGGTTTTCGTACAGTCGCATAATATTGTTCACGTTGCTCCATATTTTGTTTATTATCTAAGGCAGCTGCTGTTTGCGCATCATGAAGACTTCCCAAATCACCCATCAAAGGCCCTGAATTACAAATATTACTTGCAAACAATACTAGCAAGTAAATTTTTATTACATAAATTAATTTTTTTTGGCAATATTTTAAAAATAATGAAAATAAAAAGAGGAATTTAATTTTTTTTTTGCAAAAGAACTTACGTTTTCTGAAGCAATAAAATACAGCTCCAGCAGCAGCAATAACTGCAAATGAACTTAAAACTAATGGTAAAATAAGTTTCATATCAGAATAAACTGGTGGATGCTGTGGAATAAAATGATCAATTTCGATTGCAGGTACAGTTGAACTACTGTGAGGTTGTAGTGTTGTTATTTTATATTCAGCAACTGATGAACCCGCATTATTATGAGCTCTAACTCGAACTTCGTAACTTGTACCTGATTGTAATTCACTAAGAGTATAAGTCTTTTGTACCTGAAAAACAAGTATTTGAGAATTAAGTTAAAAAATTTTTAATTTAAAAATATCAACTTACGTCAATATTATTAGAAACAAGTGTCCAAAGTTCTTCGCCACTTCTTTTGTACTCGAGTTCAAAAAATGTTATTGGACAACCACCATCGTTCCACATATGTAAATGAAGAATAATCCATGAAACATTAACGGTTATAAATCTATCGCCACTGGCAGGTGAATCTGCTGGCTTAGAACCTTCAGTCGTTGATTTAACAATTTCACTTGGTGAACCCATACCAATTCTATTGTAAGCCGTAAGATAAATTTGATAATCCGTACCACACCAAAGTTGGGATAAAAGATGACTATTTATTTTATGCGATACTCGAACTTCCTCCCATTCACCGAATTCACGTTTATAATGAAGAATATAGCCACGTATTGGTGCACCACCATCGTCTCCATTTTTCCATTGTACATTAATGGAATTACTCGTTGAGCTTGTAGCGTGTAAAAGTGGTGCAGCTGGTGGAACTGGAAAAAAAAGCAATTTTTTTCTTGTTTTGAAAATTGTATTATTTGATGACAAACCTTGGACGGTTAAACGATGTGTGATTTGATCAGAACCATGTCGATTTTCAACAAGACAGGTGTAATTTCCGCTATCTTCACGATGAAGATCCGTTATCTGTAATGACCCATCAGGTTGCATTGAGATTCTTGCTGAAGGTTTCACCATCTCACCCCACTGTTTCCAGATTATTGATGGTTCCGGTTTTCCAACACTCTGACATGGTAATGTTACGTCCTGCTTCCAAGGCACCACTAAAGTTGTTCCAAATGAGAAAACAGCAGCTCGAACTAAAAAAAATAAATTGTTGTTACTTTTTTTGCTGATTTTAATATCATTTATAATTCTAAAAATTAAGATCAATTTGTTGTGCCTCTTTATATGAAGAACCACAAACCTTCACTGGAAGGTGAAACAGTAACGGATGGTGTTCTCGGCCCCTCTCCAACTGAAGTTGTAGCAGCTATACTACACTCATATTGAATTCTCTTGGTGAGATTGTCAGCCTGATAGCTCGTTTGATGTGATGGTAAAGCTCGACGCAACCACTTTCCTTCCGGTCCATGAACATGAACGCTGTAAGATGTAATAACACCATTGCTCCTTAGCGGTGGTTGCCAAGATACTATGATCGAATTGCTTGAACTAGCAACAGCTTTAATGCCCGCAGGCACTTCTGGTAAATCTTCTTCCGTTACACAAAAAATAGGACTCGATGCAACACCATCGCCTGCTCTTGTGTAACCCGATATTTGTACAGAATAATTTGCATGTTTCTCTAAATTATTTATCACCACTGTTAATGCTGTTGTTAATTTTGTTTCCAATCTTGTTGTTTCTGTTAGAATATCCATATTCTCCCATATTACTTTATAGCCCTTTAAAATTCCATTTAAACTCGAATCGGGCGGCGATTCCCATGATACTTGTAATGATTGTGATGAGAGAGCGGTACATCGTATATCCTGAGGTGGGCTACTTGGAACTGTATTTTTAAATTTATTTAATTATTTGAGGAAATAAAAATTATCGCTAAAGATTTAAATATATTAAAATTTTTGCTATTGTAGTAAAAGGTTAGAGGGTAAAAATTTCTTTTTTTATAACTTACCATCTTCAAGTGTTGTTGCAACAACTTCCGGTGACAATGGTCCTTGACCGAGTGCATTGAAAGCTTGAACTACAATACTGTATCGAGTGAATTTTTTAAGTCCCGGCAAGTGACACGATCGGCTGGGCATTGAAGTTCTAGCTAAGCCCAATGCTAGACTTGCTGATGATATTCGACCCTCCACTGTTCTGTATTTATATTGCTCTGCTGATAATCTAAAAGCATTGATAGGAGTTCTTTTTTTCATTTCATTTTTAAATATAGAAAAAAGTAATTTATTTTTCTTTTGATAAATTTGATTTATACCTGTATTCTTTAAATCCTACATGATAGCCCAATATTTCACCATTCCATAAATCATGATCAGGAGGATCCCACGTAACTTTTACTTCTGTTGAACTAACAGGATCTACTTTTAGGTTCCTGGCAGGACCTCCAGGTTTTTCTCCTTCTGTCGTTGCATCCATTACCTAATTTTAAAAAATAAAAAGAAAACAGTAATTTCAAAATTTATTTCAATCGAATAATCGGTTACTTGACTATTAGCAAATAAATATTTACTGGAACCAAATAATTTTTATTTGGATCAATAATTTCTGTATTTGAAACAAATACCATTTGACTCAAATAAATTTTTTTTTAGGGATGATAAAAATAGGACTATATATATATAATGATAAACTCACATCACTAGCTTGACTCCTTCCAAGATCATTTTCCGCAAAGACTCTAAACTGATAAGTAACCGCTGGTCGTAAACCATTTATATGTCCTTGAGCTTCATTTCCAGGAACGTTTGTGTGAAAAGTATGATCATGCCATACATCTGAAAGCGATAAAAAACAATTTATCGCTATACAATAAATGCTATATATATAATACAATGAATTACGTGAAAATAAACTCTTTTTTTGAAAATAATTTTAAAAAAAATAAATTCTGTTCTTTTAATAAATTCTTTTTTTAAATAAATTTTTTTTTTAAATATCCTTTTTTTTAAAATAATTTGTTTTAAATACCCTTTTCTTTAAAATAAATTAAATTACAATATGAAACTAATATGAGGAAAATTAAATTACCAGTCTCAATTTTATATTCAATGATGTACTTAGTGATTGGACTATTGCCATCTTGGCTGGTGGTCCATCCAAGTTTAATGAATCTACTGCCTTTTTCGGTAACCCGTAAATTTTTCGGAAAGTCAGGTGGCTCTGCAATTAATAAAGACATATCTTTTTAAAAAAGATTTTGTTTCTCCCATTTTTCATCATTTTTCCAAGCATTGGATTTTCAGAATTTTGTTCTAATTGTGTCTTAATTTTCAAAAAAAATATTAATGAACGAAAAAGAAGAAATAATTAAAAATTTTTAGCACATGAATTGTTTTTTTAAAATTACAATCGTTTATGGAAAAGAAATTTATTTTTTCAAAATATTATAATTTTAGTATAAAAAATTCTAAATCACGTTTTTTTATGTTACAGATATCGAGGGAAAGTTCTGAATGTTCATCTTATGAAGACATCTAAAAGGTTTGAAAAATCCACTAATAATAATTATTAATTAATTAACAAACGACAATTCAAATTAGATTAAATATTTAAATTTTATTTTTTTAATTCAATCAGTAAAAACCAATTTCAAAGTTTTTTTTTTTCAAACTTTATCAATGAATAGTAGAAGTGAATTTTCACTCCTTTGAAAATTCTCCGTCAATTAAAATGCATGAGATATATAAAAAAAAAAAATAAGAAAAAAGATGCGGTTGTACCTTGAATGTAAAGATGCATCGTCATTTCGTCACGGCCATAAGCATTTGATGCCATGCAAAAATATCGACCGCTATCTTCTCGTGTTGTGCCGATAAGTTCAAGAATGCTCACTGCACCGTCCGTGGTGTTGAGCTCTTTTACCGTATAACGATAATCCGAGACAGCAGGATCAAGGAGTGATCCAGCTTTTCTCCAGACAATTTTTAGAGGATGATCACCCTTCGCGTCGCATCTCAATGAAGCATTTGACCCAAAGCGTGCCGTCTGATTCTTGTGCTTCTCTTTAAAATGCGCCGGTGCTACAAACCAATATTGCTTAAAACTTTATACGCCATGAATTTTGATACGACTGTATTAAAATAATTTTGCATGATAATTGTCTCGATCTCTCAAAGAGAAAAGAAAGAAAAAGAGAGAGAGAGAGAAAAAAAGGAGAGAAGTTCAAAACTTGTTTTGTTTTCTTCTTTTTCTGCCCGTTTTCTCGGGTCTTTCAGATTCTTTAAGTAGATTTCAAGAAGTGAAAAACGTTATAAAGAGCTATCAAGATAGCTGACTTTTAAAAAGGTATATGGAAATACAATGTTTCAAAGTTTACAATTTAAAAAGTTGCTAAGTTATGAATTTCTCTCTTTTGTTATTGTTGAAATTGATAATTTTTTCAATTCGTTTTTTGAAATTAATTTTTGGGGTTTCGTGGCTTTGGTTTGAAAACCTTATAAATTAGCTTTGCCGTCCGTCTATCCGTCGTACATTCGTAGGGTTGCCACGATAACAGTTACCATAGGAACCATTTCCATGACAACCGTTTCCATAGGGTCATAGCATCCGTTTCCATGACAGCTGTTTCAATAACAACCGTTTCTATGACAACTGTTTCATTAGCAGCCATTACCATAGAAACCATAGCAACCGTTTCCCAAGCAACTGTTTCAATAGCAGCCGTTACAATGGAAACCATAGCAATCGTTTCTATAGCAACTGTTTCCATGACAACTGTTTCAATAGCATCCGTTACCATGGAAACCATAGCAACCATTTCCATGACAACTATTACCATAGAAACCCTTTCCATTCCAACTGTTTCAATAGCATCCGTTACCATGTAAACCATAAAACAGTTTCCATGACAACTGTTGCCACAGCAACCGTTTCCATAGCAACTGTTTTCATGACAGATGTTTCAATAGCAGCCGTTTCCATGACAACTATTACTAGAGCAACCGTTTCCATAGCAACTGTTTCCATGACAGCTGTTTCAAAAGCAGCCGTTTCCATGGAACCAGAGCAACCTTTTCCATTCTAACTGTTTCAATAGCATCCGTTACCATGTAAACCATAAAACAGTTTCCATGACAACTATTACCACAGCAACCATTTCCATAGTAACCGTTTCCTTGACAACTGTTTCCACAGCAACCGTTTCCATGACAATTGTTACCATGACAACTGTTTCAATAGCAACCGTTACCATGGCAACCGCTTTCAAAGGGCCATAGCAACCATTTTCTTGACAACTTTTTCCATAGCAACCGTTTCCTTGACAACTGTTTCCATAGCAACCGTTTCCTTGACAACTGTTTCCATAGCAACCGTTTCCATGACAACTGTTTCCATAGCAACCGTTTCCATGACAACTGTTTCCATAGCAACTGTTTCAATAGCAACCGTTACCATGGCAACCGCTTCCATAGGGCCATAGTAACCATTTCCCTGACAACTGTTTCCATAGCAACCGTTTCCATGACAACTGTTTCCATAGCAACTGTTTCAATAGCAACCGTTACCATGGCAACCGCTTCCATAGGGCCATAGTAACCATTTCCCTGACAACTGTTTCCATAGCAACCGTTTCCATGACAACTGTTTCCATAGCAACTGCTTCAATAGCAACCGTTTCCATGACAACTGTTTCCATAGCAACCGTTTCCATGACAACTGTTTCAATAGCAATCGTTACTAAGGCAACCGCTTCCATATGGCCATAGCAACCATTTCCTTGACAACTTTTTCCATAGCAACCGTTTCTTTGACAACTGTTTCCACAGTAACCGTTTCCATGACAACTGTTTCCATAGCAACCGATTCCATGACAACTGTTTCCATAGCAACCGTTACCATGTCAACCGCTTCCATAGGGCCATAGCAACCATTTCCTTGACATCTTTTATCATAATAACCGTTTCCTTGACAACTGTTTCCATAGCAACCGTTTCCATGACAACTGTTTCCATAGCAACTGTTTCTATAGCAACCGTTACCATGGCAACCGCTTCCATAGGGCCATAGCAACCGTTTCCTTGACAACTGTTTCAATAGCAACCGTTTCCATGACAACTGTTTTTATAGCAACCGTTACCATGGCAACCATTTCCATGACAACCGTTACTATAGCAACTGTTACTATGGCAACCTATTTTCTATTTTTTTTTTAAACAAATTTTTGAAATGAATATTTGTAACATGAAATATTAAATGTAAAATTTGATTTTTTTTACCGTTGACGGTGAGATGAACCAATTTGCTTAAACCAGCTCCAATTCCATTAACAGCCTCGCAAAGATAATAACCTTCATGTCCCTCTTGTACTCTTCCAAAAACTAAAGAGCCATTTGAATGCATACTGAGATCTTGAGTATGTTCATGATTCAAAATATCGTGATAATTTCCCGGTCCCTTTCCAGCACCCCTTCGCCATGTTACAGTTGGTGGTGGAAATCCATCAGCGTGACAGTGTAATGTCAATCGTGACATACCTTCAGGTGCATGAACATCCTGAGGTTCCATCACCCATCTCGGTGGAACTATATATTGGGATGAAAGAAAAAATGTATTTTTTTTTGTCTTCATTAGAGAAATTTTTTTTTTTTTCTTTTTTAATTTAACCCTCGTAGCAAAAACTTACGGGTCAAACTACTTTGAAAAGATCAGAGAGTGCAATTAGTAGAAAAGTAGAAAATCTAGAGCGGAAATGTTGTGACTTTAAACGAAATGTCCAAAGTGTCGAGAATCTTAACGTGATGATCTTGAAAAGAAGTGACGTTAATTGAAATACAATTTAGATTCTTTACAACACTTTTCAATATAAATCTGATCTTTTCATTTTTTTTCTTTATCAGGGCAAAAGGCAAGAGGCAAAAAAAAATAAATTGCATTTTTTTTTCATTATAATTATTTTCTCTCCCTTTTTTTAAAAAAAGAAAATCGTCGCAAAGAAAAGAAAAAGTTAGTCTTCAAGTATAATTTAAATAGATAAAGCTTAACAAATTTAATTTACGAGAAGAAGCTCACCCACAAAAATAATGGGATGGAAGATCGTTATGCAAAGTGGCAACTTTTTTTTATTTTTATTCTCTAAAGTAGAAAAATTATAATTTTTCCTTTTTTTCAAAAAAAAAAAACATATTTTATAATTTAAATTGACAATTTTATAGGATGTTGTAAATTTGAATGTTGTCAATTCGTAAATGAAATATGTTTTTTAAAAAAAAGTTGTATTTTTTTTATTACAGTTGTATATAATGTGCAAAAATATGTGCCTTGTACCGTACACATGTAGCTCACGTGTAACAGAACAAATTAATAGAAATATGTGCCAGGTGATAAATTTAATAATAAAATAAAAAAAAATAAAATAAAATAATCGATAGCGTGACATATTAGTGCTGTGCGGACATTTTTACCAATTAGCCGTCGTGATAGAGTGCGAGTTTCCGTGAAAATCAGTGCCCAGACGACAAAATAATAATGCCGACATCCAAGAGTTGTGAATATAATGCTAGTGAGAGTTTTGAGTGCTGGTATTGTGTCATGCGAAACGTGAAAGGGCGAGAGGACAGGATTAATTGTTCTCATATCCTAATGAGAGATTTGACATTATTTTAATTGCAACACAAATTTAATTATATTTTGTTTTGTCTTCATTTAAATATATATATATATTTCGACGCCTCCCGTTGATAAAATTTTATTCTAACACCAGTAGAATAAAATAACTCTTTTTCGAAAATTTCATGCAACTTGTGATTTCACATTTTTTTTTCCAAAAAATACTTGATTGAGTAAAAATTTTGAGAACTGAAAAATAATATAAAGAATCGTTGACAGAGTTTATTAATATTTTGTCAAAAAATTTATTTTGAAAAAGATTTCTTAATTGGGGAAATGAACTATTTGCTGTCACAGCAAATTACGTTAGCTACATGGAAAAAAATTGTTGTCTGGAAAAGCGATAAGTTTCTTTGCAAACAGTGATATATTTCTTTAGAGTAGAAAAAAATTTTGCTGATTTAGTGAAACATATCGCTGTTCATGATAAAGATTTTTTTGCGAGTGATATAGAGACAGCAACCAAATTTGCTGTGTGGTCAAAAAAGTTTTACAGTAAACTTTTAAAAATAAACACTGATATTGTTTATCACAGCAAACTTTTTCGTTGTCATAGCCAAAAATTTAGCTGTGGTTACTAATTTTAATAGATCCGATAGCAAAAATCAGTGAGCATCTGTAAGCAATTTCTTTTTTTCCATGAACTTATGTGAAATATTATTTTATTAATCTTAAAGCTAAAAATGCACATTTTTGTTTATTATTAAACACAGAAAAAAAGAAATTGCTTACAGATTCTAACTGATGTTTACTAACAGATCTATCAAAATTAGTAACTACAGCTAAATTTTTTTGCTATGACAGCGAAAAAGTTTGCTATGATAAACAATATCAGTCTTAATTTTTAAAAATTTACTATCACAGGAAACTTTTTTTGATCCCACAGCAAATTTGTTCGCTGTCCCTATATTGACTAACGTAATTTGATGTGACAGCAAATAATTCGCTGCCACAGTAAATTTTTTCAATGCGTGTAGGAAAGCAAACATTGGTTAATTTTACCAATATTTAAAAAATGTACACTTGTAGATAAAGTTTACTGTGGCAGCGAACTATTTGCTGCAACATCAAATTATATTAGCTAATATAGGGACAGCGAACAAATTTGCTGTGGGGTCAAAAAAGTTTGACAGTAAAATTTTAAAAATTAACACTGATATTGTTTATCACATAAAACTTTTTCGTTGTCATAGCAAAAAATTTAGCTGTGGTTACTAATTTTAATAGATCCGATAGCAAAAATCAGTGAGCATCTGTAAGCAATTTCTTTTTTTCCGTGAACTTATGTGAAATATTATTTTATTAATCTTAAAGCTAAAAATTCACATTTTTGTTTATTATTAAACACAGAAAAAAGGAATTGCTTACAGATGCTAACTGATGTTTACTATCAGATCTATCAAAATTAGTAACTACAGCTAAATTTTTTTGCTATGACAGCGAAAAAGTTTGCTATGATAAACAATATCAGTCTTAATTTCTAAAAATTTACTATCACAGCAAACTTTTTTTGATCCCACAGCAAATTTGTTCGCTGTCCCTATATTGGCTAACGTAATTTGATGTGGCAGCAAATAATTCGCTGTCACAGTAAATTTTTTCAATGCGTGTAGGAAAGCAAACATTGGTTAATTTTACCAATATTTAAAAAATGTACACTTGTAGATAAAGTTTGCTGTGGCAGCGAACTATTTGCTGCCACATCAAATTATGTTAGCTAATATAGGGACAGCGAACAAATTTGCTGCCACATCAAATTATGTTAGCTAATATAGGGACAGCGAACAAATTTGCTGTGAGGTCAAAAAAGTTTGGGACATTTTTAAAAATTATGCTCATCACAGCAAACTTTTTTGTTGTCCTAGCAAAAAAATTATCAGTGTTTACTAATTTTGAAAGATTCTACAGCATCTTTAAGCGATTCTTTTTTTTCCGTGTAATTAATAACATAATGGCAAATAATTCGCTGCCACAGCAAATTTTTTCAATGCGTGAACAATTGATTAAAAATTAAATTTTATGAAAATAAAGGAATTTTCCGATTTAACATTTTATCAACGGAGAGCGTCTACATTAAGAAAATAATTAAAAAAAATGAAAAATAATAAAAATATTAAAAACAAAGAGAATATTAAATAAAAAAAAAAATACAAATAATATTCTTTTGAAAAAAAGAATTAATAAAATTGTTAAAAGTAAAATAAAAATTGTTTATTTGTACACTTGTTGAAATTGTTGTGCTTTTTGTTAAGGAATAAAGTAACTTTTATGATTCGAAGCTGACACAGTAGATATAAAAGCTTTCAAACTCAATTGAAGTTTATAGTGGTGGTCAGCAGCTTTTTTCTGGTGTGTTGGCTTTCCATAAAAGTTACAATTTCAAGAGAGGAAAATTAATGTTGCGGTTTGGTACAATATACATATATATATATTTGGATATGCTTGAGATATTGATTACGGATTTGGAATTGGTTAAATTCGGATTAAATGCGGAAAATTGAAATATATATATACGAAAGCAATATATGTGTTTGTTGTGCGCTGTGCTTATATTAGTGCGTCGCTTGATTCCTTTCATTAGAAATTGTCATACATATGTAATTAAAATTATCCAATATTCTATTTCTATATAAATTATATTGACATAATTTTCATATCAATTAATTGTAGAATAGAATTTCTTACAAATTAGACATAAAATAAATATAAACACAGTTAATTTAAAATTATCAAATTGATATAATTATGAAATAATAATAATAATAATATAATGAAGAGAATCAAGTGTTTTGAAAAGAGTGCATATTGCTTTGTGCTTTTGCGAATGTGCATTTGGTGCGGTTTTTTTTAAAAAATAAAAATCCTTTTTTTTTTTTTGCTCGCTCATGCTCTCTCCTGGGAGACGCAGCAGTAACGACAGAGGTGAAAAAGTGCGAAAATCGTGAACAGCCCAGCTTGAAGTTTTTTTTTTTTTTTTTTTTTTGTTTTTGATCGCGGATATTACTTTACCACGAACGATTAATTCGGCAGTCCTAAAAACCTCTGCCACTGAATTGCGAGCCACACATGTATAGTTTCCTGTGTGAGCAGCTGTGACTCGTTCAATAACAATTGTACTGGAATGAGCATCGATGCTGGTGACTCTTAAACCAGTATTTTGACCCACTTTCGAATTGGGCAACATCCCAGAGGGACCGAAATTAGAATTAGAGATTGATTCACCGTCCTTCGACCACAAAATCGTGAATGGCGGATCACCCTTCTCTATCATGCATGTCACCTGTGAGCGAACACCTTCCTGAAGGTCCTTGTTAAAACTAAATTCGGCAATCTTGGGCGGAACTGAAACGTACAAAATAAAGGTCGAATGTGTGAGATAATTTCAAAATTCAAAAACTATTTGTATATGAGCAGCAATTTCCTTCCTGTTTTTCATTCTTTGTTGAGAAAAATAATTCGGTATTTGTGTCACAATCTTGTGAAAATGATTTATTGTGTATCATTTGAATTAGATTAGTTGGAAAAATTCTACTTGGAAAATAATGTTTAATATGAAATTTAGTACAAGTGGAAGAAATTAGTTTCACTCAGACGGAAAAATAAAAATTCTTGTAATTTTACTATTAGTGGTTAAAATAACTATTTAATTCGCAAAATTTGACTGTGAGTAGTAAAAGTAAATTTCAGTCAGGCAGAAATATAATTAAATTTTTTGTGCCAGTAGTAAGAGTACGTTTTAGTCAGACAGAACTGTAGAAACTTATAATTTTCGTTTTAGTAGTAATAGTAGATTAGGACTGTGGAAAACTCACAATTTTTTATCAGTAGTAACTGTAGGTTTTAGTCAGGCATAAATATCTTTTTTGGTTTCAGTAGTAACAGTAGGTTTTAGTCAGACATAAATTTATTTTTTTGTTTCAGTAGTATTAGTAAGTTTTAGTCAGACGTAAGTATAATTTTTTTTATTTCTTCTGTCAGTAGTAAGAGTAAGTTTTAGTCAGACAGTACAATAAAGCGTTATAATTTTTATGTTAGTAGTAACAGTAGATTTTAGTCAGACATAAATGTAATTTTTTGTTTCACTAGTAACAGTAGGTTTTTAGTCAGACAGAAAATTATTTTTTTGGTTCAGTAGTACTAAAAAGTTATAGTCAGACATAAGTATAATTTTTTTATTTCTTCTGTCAGTAGTAACAGTAAGTTTTAGTCAGACAGTACTATAAAGCGTTATAATTATTAGTCAAATGTGATAGTCAGATTGAAATGTAAAAACTCTTATTACTTTTCCGATTGTAGTAAAAGTAAGTTTCAGTCAGACTTAATTATAGTTTTTAAATTTTTTTGTGCCAGTAGTAATAGTAAGTTTTAGTCAGACAGAACTTTTTTGTCATTTTTGTCTCAGTAGTAACAGTATGTTTTAGTCAGACATAAATATAATTTTTTTGATTCAGTAGTAACAGTAGGTTTTAGTCAGACATAAATGTAATTTTTTGTTTCAGTAGTAACAGTAGGTTTTTAGTCAGACATAAAATTATTTTTTTGGTTCAGTAGTACTAGTAGGTTTTAGTCAGACATAAATATAATTTTTTGTTTCAGTAGTAATAGTAGATTTTAGTCAGACAAACTGTACTCTTATAAATTTATTTCTAGTAGTACGAGTAAGTTATAGTCAGACTGAACTGTAAAAACGTTTATTTATTTTTCGGCAGTAGTAATAGTAAGTTTTAGTCAGACAGAACTTTTTTGTCATTTTTGTCTCAGTAGTAACAGTATGTTTTAGTCAGACATAAATATAATTTTTTTGATTCAGTAGTAACAGTAGGTTTTAGTCAGACATAAATGTAATTTTTTGTTTCAGTAGTAACAGTAGGTTTTTAGTCAGACATAAAATTATTTTTTTGGTTCAGTAGTACTAGTAGGTTTTAGTCAGACATAAATATAATTTTTTGTTTCAGTAGTAATAGTAGATTTTAGTCAGACAAACTGTACTCTTATAAATTTATTTCTAGTAGTACGAGTAAGTTATAGTCAGACTGAACTGTAAAAACGTTTATTTATTTTTCGGCAGTAGTAATAGTAAGTTTTAGTCAGACAAAATTTTTTTGTCATTTTTGTCTCAGTAGTAACAGTAGGTTTTAGTCAGGCATAAATATAATTTTTTTGTTTCAGTAGTAACAGTAGGTTTTAGTCAGATATAAATATAATTTTTTTGTTTCAGTAGTAACAGCAGGTTTTAGTCAGACAGAAATATATTTTTTGTTTCAGTAGTAACAGTAAATTTTAGTCAGACAAACTGTACTCTTATAAATTTATTTCTAGTAGTACGAGTAAGTTATAGTCAGACTGAACTGTAAAAACTCTTATTTAGTTTTCGTCAGTAGTAAAAATAAGTTTCAGTCAGACATAAGTATAATTTTTTTTATTTCGTCTGTCAGTAGTCAGAGTAATTTTTAGTCAGACGTCTTGCAGTATTAAGGATTTCGGTACTGTTTTTTTTACACAACTCTTAAAAATTTATAAACGATATTAATTAAAAATGTTTATTCAAGCTGAAAAATATGTATATGAGAAAAAATAAACAACTGTAGGCATTAACTTTGTGAATTAAAATTGCTTTTGTAAAAATTTCCGTAAAAGACGCCTCATTAAGCGCTTTTTTAAAGAAAAATAAAAATAATGCAGTAGACGTTCTCCAACTTCTTTTATGTTCTGCATTCATCAGTGTCCTGTAATGTATGTATCTAAAAAAAATGTATAATCATGTTAATTTAAATCATGTAAATGTAATTGTTTCTATATAAATAATTTTTTTTCCAAATATTTATAAATTTATGTTAAATTCTATAATTATTATTAATTATAAAATTCATAAATTTTTCTAAATAGAAGAAAATAAATTACAAAAAATATTTGGTAGGATTGTGTATTAAAATTTGTATGCGTGTTGAAATGAATTTGACACCTGAAAAATGAAACTTGTTTCCAGCGATGCCTAAACCTTCGTTTATCAACAAGAACAAAGAGAGTAATTTTTTTTCCTTCTTCTTCTTCTTTTTTTTTTTTTTTTTTTATTCCTGTTGTTTTATTTTTGGAGACGTTGACTGGTATGTCTCAAGCCTCAGGGTATTAGATGAGGCAATACTCCTCGTTTGGAAATAATTCAGAACTCGAGAACAAACATAATGGTACGATATATAAATGTCAGTGTATCTGTGTTTGTTGGAAAAAAAAAAATTGTGATATTCATAGTTTTTTATGAGAGAGAGAAAGAGAGAGATGGAAAGAGTAAACATGTCTGGTTTTTGGTTGTCGGCACAGCACACGACATGAAATCACCCTCGGGCTCTTCGTTTCGGTTTTCGGCTCTTTCTTCCGCTTTGATTTTTTCCCTTTTTTTTTTTTATTTTCACAAATAAATAAGAAAATTTCAATAATAAATGATGAATACAAAAGTTTGGAAATTTCTTTTTTTTTTTAATTTTTTAATATCGTATTTGGAATATTAAAAAAAAAATTTTGATATTTGGGTATTAATAAAAGCAGCCCTTGATTTCGTACCGTGAACCTCTAAACGTTCAGTGCGCGAAGTATTAGCGGCATCGTTACTTGCGACGCATGTATAATTGCCATTATGTTCGGGCGAGGCACTATGAATCTTGAGTGCGAGATCAAATTCGCCACTTTGATGTGTGTCCACTGCTCTTGGATTCAAAGGACCTCCATCTTTAAGCCACACTATCCTCAATGGTGAATCACCTTCGCTTACAACACAAGTCACGTGCACTCTTGCTCCAGCTTGAACATCCGCGGGAAAGTTAAATGGATTTATTTTTGGTGGTACTGCAAAATTACAACAAATTGCCAAACTTATTATTCTCAATAATACAAATCAAGTTTAAATCCTCTTGCTTTTCTTTTTCCGTAGTGGATGGTGACGCAATCAATGTTGAAAAATCGTTTCTCCTTTTTTTTTTATTCCTTTGGATAAAAATATTGTTAAAAAAATAAAAAATATTTTTTTTTTAATAAACATCTGTAATTTGTTAATAACATTTGTTTTGTTTTTATTAGAAAATTGAAAATTAGATTTCGAATTTTAAAAATTGGTTTATTATTTACCTTTAACGTCAATTTGTACAGTTTTTGAACTTGATCGTCCTTGTTTATTTTTGGCGGTACACTTGTATTCGCCTTGATCGGTGCTGCTGTCCACATTTTGAAGGACCAAAGTACCATTACGTGAAACTTGCTGCCGCCGACTAGTCGGAAGAACTTGGCCGTCTGCGAAAAGTCAAGTAAGACGAATTCGATTACGCGTTGAACGAGAGAGAAAACTATATATATATATATAGAGTAGTGTTGCTCGAACAAACTTTTCAATTCGTTTTACGGCATCTCGAATAACTAGGAAAAACTTTAACTGTGAGTAGCTATATTTTTCAACCCCCCCCCCTTTATCTGATTGCCGTTGTATTCAATTTGAACTTAATAAAAAAAAAACCGCATCTTTTTTTTCAACCAAAAAAGAATATGGAACTAATTTTTCTTATAATTTGAATTTAACAAGTTTTTCTCTTTCTAAATAATCAAGATTTTAATCTCTAAATTTAATTTAGTAAAAAATAATAATTTTTTTTTTTTACTATATTTTCTGAGGTCAATGACCCGTTTTACTTGGAGCTCGATTTCTTCATTTATTTTTCATCTAATAATATTCATTAATTCAGCAGTTGAGTTCAACGATCACTTGTCAGCCTGAGATGTATATAAATAAAGTTTCAGTTATTCTATATGCGGTTTTCCGTAATTTGACATTTATAATATTAAAAAATTAAACATTAATTTGGAAATAGATTTAACATTTCGTTAGTGTAGTGGATAAATTCATAATTTACTTTAATATTACAAATTGAAGTAATTGACAAAATTATATAAGAAATCGTAATTTAAAAGAGAGGTGTTTAAGTATTTGGTAAACAATGTTTTGTCTTATTAAAACTGTCTTCTACTACTTAAGTAAAAGACAATTTTAAAACGTTTCGCCTGACTAAAACATTATTTTTCTATTGTAAAATACATTATAAGTCTGACTAAAATTGCCTTCTACTACTTAAATTAAAGAAATTGATATTTTAAAACGTTTCGCCTGACTAAAACATTATTTTTCTGCTGTAAAATATATTATAAGTCTGACTAAAATTTAGTTACACTACTAAATTCCGCTTTGAAAAAGTTTTGCCTGACTAAAATTGGCTTCTACTACTTAAATTAAATTCAATCCTGTTTTATAATTTTTCGTCTGACTAAAATCATCTATCACTACTTAAATGAAATAAATTATATTAATACGTCTCGTCTGACTAAAATTGTCATCTACTACTTCAATTAAAAAAGTCCTATTTTTATGCGTTTTGTCTGACTAAAATTGTCTTTTACTACTTAAATTTAAAAATAACTCTATTTGAAAATTTTTTGTCTGACTGTAACTGTATTTTTCTACTGATAATTAAATAATAAGTCTAACTATAAATATAGCTTGAACTACTAAATTTCTATTCTAAAATTTTTTGTCTAACTAAAATTGTCTTTGACTACTTAAATTAAAGAAATTTTCATTTAGTCTGACTAAAAGTATCATCTACTACTTAAATAAAATTAAATTCTTTTTTATAACGTTCTGTCTGACCAAAAAAGTCTTGTACTACCTAAAATAAAGAGATTCCTATTATAAATCGTTTTTCTGATTATAATGATCTTTTTCTAATGTTAAAAAAGTAATAAATCTAACTAATATTGACTTACACTACTAAATTTTTATTCTAAAATGTTTTGTTTGACTAAAATCGTCTTCTACTACTTAAAAGTTAAAGAAATTATTTTATTACGTTTTGTCTGACTATTATTGGCTTTTACTACTTAAATTAAAGAAATTCTTATTTTCATGCGTTTCGTCTGACTAAAATTGTCCTTTACTACTTAAATTTAAAAATAATTCTATTTGAAAATTTTTTGTCTGATTTAAATTTAGTTATACTACTTAATTCTTCTTTGAACCGGTTTTGTCTGACTGAAGTTATCTTCTACTACTTAAAAATTGAATAAATTATATTATTATACTACAATTGGTTGCAACCACTTAAAATAAAGAAATTCTTACTTAACAACGTTTTGTCTGTATAAAAACGAATTTTTCTACTGTTGAAGATATTACAAGTCTGGATAAAATTGAGTTACACTACTAAATTTCGCTTTGAAAAGGATTTGTATGACTAAAATCGGCCTCTACTACTTAAATTAAATAAATTTGTATTTTATTACGTTACGTCTGACTAAAATTGTCCTTTAATACTTAAATGAACGAAAATTATTATTATTAAAATTTTGGAATGACTGAAATCTGACGAGAAATGGCTTTTATTACTGGGAATTAATTTACAACAAATATATTTTGTCGGACTAAAACGTTTTTGTACTACTTAATTGGAAAATAATTATATTTTTAAATGTTTTGTCTGACTATAATAGTATTTTTCTACTGATAATTAAATAATAAGTCTAACTGAAATTGGCTTCCACTACTAAATTTCTATTCCACAATTTTTTGTATGTTTAAATTGGTTTCTACTACTTAAATTAAAGAAATTTGTATTTGAAAACTTTTTTTTTGACTAAAATTGAATTCTACTACTTAAATCAAAGAAAATGAAATTTTAAAACATTTTGTCTGACTGAAATTAAGTTACACTACGAAATTACAATTTGAAAATGTTTGTCTGACCAAAATTGGCTTCTACTACTTAAATAGGAGAAATTCATATTTTAAAACGTTTTGTCTGACTAAAATTGGCTTCCACTATTAAATTTCTATTCCACAATTTTTTGTCTGACTTAAATTGGTTTCTACTACTTAAATTAAAGAAATTTGTATTTTAAAACGTTTTGTCCGACTAAAATTGAATTCTACTACTTAAATCAAAGAAATTGAAATTTTAAAACATTTTGTCTGACTGAAATTAAGTTACACTACGAAATTACAATTTGAAAATGTTTGTCTGACCAAAATTGGCTTCTACTACTTTAATAGGAGAAATCCATATTTTAAAACGTTTTGTCTGACTAAAATTGGCTTCTACTACTTAAATTAAATTCAATCCTGTTTTATAATATTTCGTCTGACTAAAATCATCTTTCACTACTTAAACGAAATAAATTATATTAATACGTTCCGTCTGACTAAAATTGTCATCTACTACTTCAATTAAAAAAGTCCTATTTTTATACGTTTTGTCTGACTAAAATTGTCTTTTACTACTTAAATTTAAAAATTCCTACTTTCGCCTTGTCTAACCAAAATTATCTTCTACTACTTATAATAAAAAAAATTCTCCTTTTAGTATGTTTTGCTTGACTACAAAAGTCTAAACAACACTTTTAAAATACGTTTATATCAAATACTTAAACGCCCCTCTTAAAAAAATTGCACCAAATTTTAAGTAATTAATAACTTATTAAATAAGAATAATTTTTTCAAAATTTTGAAAATTATTATTTCTATAATGTTACATATATATATGTCTACATTCATAATTTATAAAACTCGTATGACACTGGTAATATAATAATTTTTTAATGATATAAAAAAAAACCGATTTGAATAATAATTGGGGCCATACCTTTTTCCCATGTAATGGAGGAAATGGGAAATCCAGCCACAGGACATTTGATGACGGTCGTTTCGCCAGCGACAGCGGCATAATTACCCATTGGCCGTACAAATGGTGCTCCATAAATGTTTAGACGTGCCCCATGATGCACCTTAGCTACTCTATTGTCTGCAGTACACCTGTATTCACCTCCATCTTCAACGCGAACGCCACTTATGTTTACGTGAGATATAACGTCCCCATGTACCGTGACATATTGTCCTATCATAAACCTTAAAGTAACAGTTGATCGTTTCAGAAGGTTTTAGATGCAACAATATCAAAATAATTTTATATCCCCTACTCAACACGAATTTTACACTTAATTTTTTTTTTTTTTTATTTTAAATCAAAATTTATATTTTATCATTTTTATTTTTAATGCAAAATTTTACTAAAAATAATAATACGATATTTGACTTTTATAATAATTTATTTTTATTTATTAAATAAATTATTTGAAAGAATTTGAGGCAAATAAGTTTTTTGATTTAACCATCAAAATTTGGTAGTTAAAAAAAATAAATTTCTGAGTATAGAAAAAGTAATTATCAATGCTTAAAATTATGTTTAGAATATGACAGTTTATTAAATTGAAGTGTTTATTTACGTAAGATTAAGTCTTGTGAAATTTAACGAGAGTACCTGTCGTTTTGAGGAAGAGGAAACCCATCTAATGACCAAGTAAAATGTGGCGTAGGATTTCCAGTGGCGATGCACTTGAGAGATACTGGAGGTCCTGGCTGTATAGTTTGTTCAATAAATTTATACACTAGTTGAGGCAATGCATCTAAAGAGAAAATTTTCAAAACAACTTATTATTAATATAGTATAAAACTTATCGAATTAATTCTAAAGAACATAAATTACAGCATCTGATTATCACATAAAAATAATTAATTATATTTTTAAAAATTTTTTATTAAAAATAATTATTTTAATACGAATTTTCTATTTTCGATTCAAAATTTAAAAGAATTTCTTTATTTTAGCTGCAGATTTTTTGTCGAATTTTTATTTAATCGACTTTTAATTTAACAGAATTTTCATTTAATTGAATTTTTTGTGATTCAAATTTTTTGAATGATGGAAATTTCAATTTACCGAATTTTAATTTGTCCGAATTTTTATTTGTAATAATTTTTAATTGATAGAATTTTTAAAACGCCGAATTCGAAATTACAAAATGATCGAACAAACAATCGACAGAAAGATTTCGGCGCAATTTTTAAAATTGACCAATCACGATTTTTGGGATAATTTCTAATTGGGAAATTTTTGAAAATTGCGCCGAAATTTTTCTGTCTTTCCGGACATTTGTAATTTCGGATAAATAAAAATTGGGACAAATTAAAATTTGGTGAATTTGGAATTTGTCATTTAAAAGTTCGTATTTACTAAAGTAAATTATTAATTATATTTTCAATATATATATCAAAAAAATCAATGAATTGTATATGTACCGCCAAGTCGAAGTTCAGCAGTTGCTTGTACCATTGAATAATCATTTTTTGCAAAACATTGATACATTCCTTTATCGTCGCGTGTTATGGCAGATATGTGTAAAATTGTTCCATTGCTACCCATAATTTTGGCTCTACCAGAATTTCCCTCTCTCAATGGTGAACCATCTTTTGCCCATGTTATCATTGGCGTTGGTTGACCCGTAAATGAACACTGAAATTCAGCATCTTTTCCCAAGTCAACTGTCACCTAAAAAATTGTTCAAAATTTAAAAAAAGAAAACTAATTTTTTTTTTATAGCAAATAGAGCATCGAGACTAAATTTCTCCGTATATTATTTTTTTATTTTCTCTAAAGCACATTTCAAGTTCACTTTGTATTCAACAAAAAAAAAAAAAAATGATTTATACCTTTGAAGTTGAACAATTTTTTTTTCTCTACCTGTTTTTGTCTCTGCTCTATTTGCAATCAAATTAAACAGTGATTGATAAATTTCCAATCGGACCGAAAAAGAAAAGCTGATGAAGTGCTATTCAAATAAATACAAATTCAATAAATCTCAAAATTTTTCGACTAAAGTGTGAAATTTATTTTTTAAATTTAGAAAAGTTAGTTAATGACCGAATCCATGTGAAATCATGCAGGCAGTCCGATGATATATTGCGAATTAATTTCAGAATGAAGTATGTTATTCTACTTGAAAAATAAAGAAATACGTGTTTTTTTATATTTTGATTCGATTTTGTGTGTAGTTTTTACGACTTTTTAAAGATTTTTTCAAGAAAATTAATTTTTTTGCATTTTTCGCTTAAAAAAAGCATAACTTTCGTAATTTTTAACCTTTTTTGTTGCTCCTGGGCTTATTTTTTTCATTTTTTTTTACTCTTTTAAAAAAAATTGCTCCGAATGAAAAATATTAAAAAACAAGAATAAAAATGGAATTTTTCGAAAAAACAAAAAAAATTTTTTCTCAAAAATGCCACCTTTTTTTCGCCCCAAATTTTCAGGATTTATTGGTACACATATGTATTACATACCATAAAAATTTCACTTGGTATTTTTTTGTTTCTTAGGAGGAAAAAAATATTTTCATTTTTTTGATTAAAAACTCTAAAAATCATCAAATTTAAAAGGTTTCTAACTGCTCCTTGATTCATTTTTTTACTTTTCAACATTATTTTCAAAAATTGCGCAAAAAATAAAGAATGTTAATAATTTGCAAGAAAAATAACTTTGTTTTAGAAAAAAACGAAAAAAAAGATTTCAAAAATTTTTTTTTTCAAAATTTTTTTTTAGATTTTTTATGTATTGATCAATTCTAAAAGCAATATTTAGAAAAAAAACAATTTTAACAATTCAATCAATCGATCGAATTATTTTCGAAAATTGCGTAAAAAATAAAGAATGTTAATAATTTTTAAAAATATCTAATTTTTTTAGAGAAAAAAAAAAGGAAACAAATAGGTTTCAAAAATATTTTTTTTATACGTACATTTTTTGTTTGTCAAATCGTTTTAAAAGAAAATATAAAAAGTAGTTTTATGGAACCCGAAAAAATAACAAACAAAAAATGTACGTATAAAAAAAATATTTTTGAAACCTATTTGTTTCGAAAATAATTCGATCGATTGATTGGATTGTTGAAATTGTTTTTTTTCTAAATATTGCTTTTAAATTTGATCAATACATAAAAAATCTAAAAAAAAATTTTTGGAATTTTTTTTTTCGTTTTTTTCTAAAACAAAGTTATTTTTCTTGCAAATTATTAACATTCTTAATTTTTTGCGCAATTTTCGAAAATAATGTTGAAAAGTAAAAAAATGAATCAAGGAGCAGTTAGAAACCTTTTTAATTTGATGATTTTTAGAGTTTTTAATCAAAAAAATGAAAATATTTTTTTCCTCCTAAGAAACAAAAAAATACCAAGTGAAATTTTTATGGTATGTAGTACATATGTGTACCAATAAATCCTGAAAATTTGGGGCGAAAAAAAGGTGGCATTTTTGAGAAAAAATTTTTTTTGTTTTTTCGAAAAATTCCATTTTTATCCTTGTTTTTTAATATTTTTCATTCGGAGCAATTTTTTTTAAAAGAGTAAAAAAAATGAAAAAAATAAGCCCAGGAGCAACAAAAAAGGTTAAAAATTACGAAAGTTATGCTTTTTTTAAGCGAAAAATGCAAAAAAATTAATTTTCTTGAAAAAATCTTTAAAATTGTAAAAACTACACACAAAATCGAATCAAAATATAAAAAAACACGTATTTCTTTATTTTTCAAGTAGAATAACATACTTGATTTTGAAATTAATTCGCAATATATCATCGGACTGCCTGCATGATTTCACATGGATTCGGTCTAATACAAAAAAAAAAATTGAAATTAAAATTTTTTTAGTGAAAATTGGAAATAATGAAAAAAAAAATGTTTCCAACCTGTTGGGGTTGTAATCGTATTGAAAGACTGCTGATAATTGAGACTTCAAGTTCGACACTTTCGGAGCCGGCAGTATTGTTGGCATGACAAACATAGCGTCCAGCGTCATCGACTCGGGCGGATTGCAAAACAAGAACACCAGCACGAGAATGAATTCTCTCGGAATTGACGATCATCTCAGTGCCAGAAATGGATTCGCGAAACCAGAGGTACATTGGCGGTGGTATTCCTTGTGAGATGCAGGACAAGACGATTGTTTCACCAGTGCGAATTGGAGCTGGGCTTACGCGTTCGTTGAATCGTGGTGGCACAGAATTTCGATGTTCTACAAACAGGTTATCAAACGAATCCATTATTCGTCAGACAATAGGGACGGCCGCGTCGAGTATTCTGAATTTCAATTCTGTCTCGTGCGGTAACATTAATTTCCTATCAAATCATTTCTATATCCATATTTCTATATACATATATATATATATATATATATATATATTTTATTTGGTTATTTATTTATTTATTTCTTATTTATTACTTTTTTATTTGTATTTTTGAAGCGAAACTGGCACCATTTTAATTTTATCTCCAGTCTTACGAAAATTTGGGACAAGAGCGGAAACAGTTTAGTTTGTTTTCTACTTTTTCTAAAAATTAAAACTACTTATTTTTGAAATTAAAGGAATTTCTGATTTAAAACGTTCTGCCTGACTAAAATTTGCTACTACTACTTAAATTAAAGAAATTCTTATTTAACAACTTTTTGTCTGACTATAACAGTATTTTTCTACTGTTGGAGATTTTACAACACTGAAAAAAGAGTTTGATATTAACAACAATAACAACCAAACGTTTGGTTGGTATTTCAACAACCAAATTTTTTTTTGTTGAATCAACAAAATTTTAATTGTCCCAATCAAAATTTGTTTGACACAACCAAAATTAGAAAAAAAGAATTTTTGTTGTCCTAACTAAAGTTTGATTGGGACAACCAAAATTTTGTTGATTCAACAAAAAAATTTTGGTTACTAACCAAACGTTTGGTTGTGAATACCAAACCCTTTTTTCAGTGAAATATGACTAAAATTGAGTAACACTACTAAATTCCACTTTAAAAATGCTTGTCTGACTCAAATTGTCTTCTACTACTTAAATTCCTATTTATTAAATTCCTATTCCTATTTAAAAATTCCTATTTAAATTCCTATTCCTATTATTCCTATTTGAATTCCTATTTAAATACTTTTAGTCTGACTAAAATTGAGTTAGACTACTAGATTCTTATTTGAAAAGGTTTTGTCTGACTAAAATTGGTTTCTACTACTTAAATTAAAGATATTCCTATTTTGAAACTTTTAGTCTGACTAAAATTGAGTTAAACTACTAGATTCTTATTTGAAAAAGTTTTGTCTGACTAAAATTGTCTTCTACTAATTAAATTAAGGAAATTACTATTTTAAAAGTTTTCTTCATCCAAAAATTAATTTAAGTACTAAATTCCTATTTGAAAAGAATTTGTCTGACTAAAATTGGTTTCTACTACTTAAATTAAAGAAATTTGGATTATTTGTTGTTTCTTCTGACCATAACCGTATTCTTTTACTGTTAAAAATATTATAAGTCTGACTAAAATTGAGTTACACTACTAAATTCCACTTTAAAAATGTTTGTCTGACTCAAATTGGCTTCTACTACTTAAATTAAAGGAATTCCTATTTTAAAACTTTTAGTCTGACTAAAATTGAGTTAAACTACTGGATTCTTATTTGAAAAAGTTTTGTCTGACTAAAATTGAACCAACGGATCGTAGAAGGGCATATAGGCAATGTATTTAGCATGGCCTATATGCCCTTCTACGATCCGTCAGTTCAATTGTCTTCTACTAATTAAATTAAGGAAATTACTATTTTAAAAGTTTTCTTCATACAAAAATTAATTTAAGTACTAAATACCTATTTGAAAAGAATTTGTCTGACTGAAATTGGTTTCTACTACTTAAATTAAAGAAATTTGTATTATATGCCGTTTCTTCTGACTATAACTGTATTCTTTTACTGTTAAAAATATTATAAGTCTGACGAAAATTGAGTTACACTAATAACTTTCTATTTAAATAGGGTTTGTCTGACTAAAATTGGTTTCTACTACTTAAAAGTAAAAGAAATTATTTTATTACGTTTTGTCTAACTACAATTGGCTTCTACTACTTATATAAAAGAAATTTATATTTTAAAAGGTCTGACTAAACTTGGCATCTACTACTTAAATTTAAAAAAATCCTATTTAACAATGTTTTGTGTGACTATAACAGTTATTTTCTACTGTTGAAGATATTACAAGTCTGACTAAAATCGAGTTACACTACTAAATTCCACTTTAAAAATGTTTGTCTGACTCAAATTGGCTTCTACTACTTAAATTAAAGGAATTCCTATCTTAAAACTTTTAGTCTGACTAAAATTGAGTCCGACTACCAGATTCTTATTTGAAAAAGTTTTGTCTGGCTAAAATTGTCTTCTACTACTTAAATTATGGAAATTACTATTTTAAAAGTTTTCTTCATACAAAAATTAATTTCAGTCCTAAATTCCTATCTGAATAGAATTTGTCTGACTAAAATCTTTTACTGTTCAAAATATTGTAAGTTTGACGAAAATTGAGTTAGACTACTGAATTCTTCTTTGAAAAGGTTTTTTTTTGACTAAAATTGACTTCTATTACTTAAAAGTTAAAGAAATTATTTTATTACGTTTCGTCTGACTACAATTGGCTTCTACTACTTATATAAAAGAAATGTCTATTTCAAAAGGTCTGACTAAACTTGGCATCTACTACTTAAATTAAAGAAAATCCTACACTTAGAAAAAATATATGTTTGAACCAAATGTACAATTTTTTTATATTTACCAAATTTTTTGGTTAGTTCAAACAAAATTTGTTTAATTCAAATAAATATTTATTTGATCTAAATAACTGTTTGGTTTATTTTAATAAATTTTTTGAGAAAAAGAAAAAATTTGATTGAGCTAAATAAACGTTTGGTTTATGCAACCAAATGTTTGTATATCAATGCATTTATTTTGTTGATTTAACCAAAATTTAACAAATTTTTTTTCTGAGTGTATTTAACATTGTTTTGTCTGACTATAACTGTTATTTTCTACTGTTGAAGATATTACAAGTCTGACTAAAATTGAGTTACACTACTAACTTTCTATTTAAATAGATTTTTTCTGACTTAAATTAATTTCTACTACTTAAATTAAAAAATTCCTATCTTAATACGGTTAGTCTGACAAAAATTGTCTTCTACTACTTAATTGAAAGATAATTCCATTTTATGACGTTTGGCCTGACTAAAATTGTTTATTTTCTACTTATAATGAAAGTATAAGTTTAAGTAAAACTGACTTAAACTACGGATTTTCTAATTTTGAACGTTTTGTCTGACTAAAATCACCTTTTACTACTTAAAATAAAGACAATCGTAAAAAAAAGATTTGAAACTTTGTGTCTGACTTAAATTGTCCTCTACTACTTAAATTACAGAAATTCCGTTTTTAAAACTTTGTGTCTGACTAAAATTATTTTTAACTACTAAAATAATCGTATTTATAATTGCAACAATATTTGCATCAATTTGAAAGATTAAAATTTTTCCTAAATCTAAAACAATAACGACTACATTTAAATTTTGTACAAAAAATTTTTGCCATTTTAATTTTGTCCTCTAGTTTTACGAAAACTAACAGCAAAAGCGGCTCAATTTTAATTTTTGCTCTACTTTCACCAAAAAACTAGAGCAGAAATAAAAAATAGCGCCGTTTTTGCTCCAATTTTTTTTTTGGGAAAACTGGAGCAGAAAATAAAAATCGCTTCGATTTTGCTTAAGTAAAATTAAAATATACAAACCAAAAAAGGTATTGTTTTTGTCCGAAATTTTCTTTAGAATTTAAAATAGCACGTGTTTTTGCTCAAAACTAAAACAAAAACGTTACCATTTTAATTTCTATTTGAAAAAATTTAAAATCATTTAAAATTTGACTTAACGAGAAAAAAAATTTTTTTTTTTATCTCGAATTTTTTTTTCTTCTCAAGCTCGTTATTTTTATTCGGTTTTATAAGAAGACAAGGAGACATTAAAAGGATGAGTTGGAAAATTGTGAACCTCCACATATATATATATATATAAGAAGTCGCTAACACTTTTACTTGGAAATCGCCGATCTACTTTTCTATAAAGACTTTCCTTCTCTCTTTCTCTCGCTCTCTTACTCTCTCACTCACTCACTCTCTTCTCTTGTACATGTCTGGGGGACGTGAAAACGGGAATATTCTCAAACGCATATTCTCGAGATCCTGAATATTCAAGAGGAGAAATCTCTCATATATGAATATTCTCTCCTCACTGCCACTTCGATATTAATTCCTCCGTTTTGTGAAGATATTCTCAGTTGGGTTTAAAGAGTCACCAAGTCGTTTGAATTTATGTATCAAAGCTAATAAATTAAACATATATTTTAAATACCAATAATTTCCCTCCGGTGTTATTTAATTTTTATCTCATTTATTTTATTGATTTCTTTTTTTAATGTCTCATAAATAAATCAAGAATTATGTTTCAAAATAAATTTCCTTAATAATAAAGATAAAATAAATTAACATATATAATTTTGAAAAAGAAAATTCAATTTTATTTTTATCGACACTATTGTAAATATTCAATAGATTTTTGAAATTTACATTCAATGAAAAGTAATGAATTGAAATGTTAAAAAAAAAAATCAATCAGACTAAGTGCAATGTAGTTTGGTAAAAGATTTGCGTCTTTAATGTTTGTAAAGGAAGAAAAAAAAAGAAAACAAAAACTAGTGAAGTTTTCTCTATATTTGAAGACAAAAGAAACGAATATATTTTCCCATGTATATAGCATAACTGGACGAAATACTCAATAGAGAGGAATACAAAGCTGGACTTGATAAGATTGCGGTGCAGCCAGTCTAGGGATTGGTACAGTGTGATGGCTGCATTGTTTCTTGTCGATGTTGCGCAGCAGTTTCGCTGCATCACCATCGCGCAGAAAATAGAGAAGGGTATATATGCACTTTGCGTTTCGTCGAGTTTTCGATAGAACGATCCCATCCTATCGTTTTATCGTCAACCTCTTTTCTCCCTGTCTCTCTCTTTCTCTCTCTTCCTCTCTTGCTCTTCTTCTTAGTTTAAGAAGTCTCTTCATTCCCCTCCCGAGTATAATAATGCTCCTCATTGTTTCGAACACGTATATTTTAGACTCACCTAAATTAACATTCTCTTAACACAAAATTCAAGTAC